TAAATTCATCCCCTACGAGAATGATTAAGGGTGAAAATATTTGAATGTTGAACTTACAAAGATGACATTTGTACAAGGCAAATAGTAAAAGACTGAAATGACATTTTTTCAAAACTATCATTAAAAAGGGATGAAATGGGATACTTATTAAAGTTTGTGTAGGATTTTTTTTAAGCGTGGTACGATTTACATGAAACTTTTATTGGATAATTTAAAGATAAAATGAATACATTACGAAACAACCTATAAAAACTTACCTCTTCATAGTATCTATATATTTTGATAATACCTGTTTATTCCCTTTTTAACCGACTTCAAAAAAGGAGGAGGTTCTCAATTCGACTCTATGTTTTTTGTATGTATGTTACGCGATAACTCCGGTATTTGTGAACCGACTTTCATGATTCTTTTTTTGTTGGAAAGAGGGTACCTCCATAGTGATCCTATATTTTGAAGAAAATCATCCACCTCTAAGAGTTCACGCATGAAGATTCATTTTTATAAATAGCGCCTAACTTTTATTATAATTAACAATTATTTTAATGGTTGATTTTGCTATTCTTTACTTCATGGCGTTTTTCTCTCAATATGCTTTGAGTAGTGAGAACCGATTTTTATTATCTCCTGTGTCAAGTTCCGTATAGTGGCGAACTAGGGGCTGAATCCGGGTTTGCACCCTTTCCGGTAACCGATTTCAATAAAACTTAGTAATTATATGTCATTTCACGTACTTTTGAGGTCGATTTTTTTAGTGCTCTGTACTTATTACCCTACCTATTTAAATAGCAATAAATTAAATGCTTAGGTTTTTTAAATAAAATAACCAATTGTTTGGTGATCCTGGCGCCTAAATGTGGTGCCAGAAATGTAGTTTCCAAAGACGTCTTAAACTAACGACTACCTCCGATTGGTCAGTATGCTTTAGTGCATACTAAATGATGATAAATATAAAGTGACATTCCATAATATTACACAACGGCAGTAACGAATTTTACCTATCGGTCAACACATGTAACATGTCTTTACATTTAACCGAATAAATTTAGGTATTATGTGAATCATTTTAAGATACAACCCTCTGTGTGGACGATCTCGCGGGTATAAGCTATTATTTATATTTTTCATTTATGTTTTAGTAGTATGCAACATAAAAATTTTACGCGGATGAAGTCGCGGGCAACAGCTATTACTAAATACAGCAGCAAACTGGTGAACGTGAAAAATATATTGCAAGTAATAAAAATGAACAAATATTGAACAATGCAATTGGAAATTTCCGTAGAATTCAATTATCTCTGTAGTCCTATTAAATATCTATGGTAGTCATATAAAAGTTGATTCCTCGAACGTTATCGAATTTTATTTATAAGGAAGATTAACAGTTTTACAACATTTCATTAACAATGTAGTCTGAAAACGAGTATATTATATTAACTAATATTTTTTTCTTTTTTCACAGTTCTGCAAATTTGCGCGCAAAATCTTACAATTCAATATTTTTCCTTTAGACTTGATCTCCCGTATTAAGCCCTAGATTCAATTATTTCAGGTCACAGATTGAAATTCTGAAAAAACATTGTGTTGCGTCGAAGTCAACAAATAAAAATAAAATTGAAACTAAAATAAATAACTTAAAGGAAAACAATACAAATCTCATTGCCATTGAATTAAAATTTGAAAAGTTACATTAAAATATAAAATTTATAAAACCAATTGTTAAAAAAAAAGATCAAAAATAATAAACTAATATTAAATTAAATTTAGTATGCAAGGTAGTGAACCTAATCTAAACCGCCATGTGAAGCTGCATCCAATGGGTCTGGAAGGGGCAGTCTACTTTTTTAGTTACAACGGTCAGAATGCTGTTGGGGTTCGTTCGCTAAAGTGAGGCTACCAGTTTTCTCAGAATGGCATGAAAGCCATCTATGCGTGTCTCGCGAACATACCTGACGCGCTACAGTGTCGCGGTAAACCCAACAACATCCTGAACGCGTTGTTGTACTGTACCCTCAAACTATTTAGGGTCGACTTAGTTATAATTCACCCGAAGGCTATACGTATAGAAGGTTTGACAAAATGCTTTCAAAATCGTTCTCCCTACTGCAACGTGCAAACCTCCAGGCAAGCATATTCGTTCTTACTGCAAGGGCTCTCCTCTCTCTATGTCTACTGACATCAGACTGGTCATCCGTCACCCAGGGACTTAAATATTGAAACTCTAGCGTTGCCACAAAGGCTAACCGGCGGCGGTACAACGCCAACTTCTCCATTCCGCGGCTTAAGCACCAGAATGTTAAAGCGTGAAACACACAGAGAGCGGGTGCGGGACGGGCGCAAGTGTGTGTCCGGCTCGGTGTGTTGCTGTAAACTTCATGTATATCGGTTGAGCAACGGCCGAGTAATCCCATTAAATAAATAAATAACGCACACAATCAACATAGCCCCGCACTAAGGAAACCCTGTGTCGCGGGTGCCATGGACACACACATAGACAACCACAAATTACACCGAAACTCACGAGAGAAATAAATGTAAGCCATACAAACATTTCTCCCGGCCCGGGAATCGAACCTGGAACCTCTGCGTGGCAGTCCGGCATGGTAACCGTTCGGCCACGGAGGCAGTTATTCCATTCGTAGAGTGAGCATTTCGTGTGGATGCCAACAAAGCTTCACTCGCTGCGCTTCAGTGAAAACCACTTAAGTTATTACTCCATAAAATAAAACTACCATTAATTAAATAGTAAATGCCGTTTTTCTAAAATGGTAGGGGGGTGTGAGCAAACAAACCTAGACTCATGAAATGCGTATAGCAGACATCGATGATCGTCAACCCATTTATACGTCCCACTGCTGGGTACTTCTGGGGTCTTCACTTAGGCGAGAGTTTAAGTCATAGTCCTCCACACTGGCCCAATACGGGGATTTCACACGTTTTCCGAGATTTGTGAACCTTCTTCTACGTGCAGGTTTAATCACGATGTTTTCTTACACCAAAAAGTTCATGAAAAGGAAATTTCGCACATAAATTCCGAAATCTCAGAGATGCGAAGCTGGATTCAAACCCACGGGTCTGCTTGAGAGACGATAGGTTAAACCATTTGACTACCACAGCTTTTACAGACATCGGCTTATCGACGAAGAATTACAGGTACGAGCGTACTACCTGATTCCTATCGAGTAATTCTGGTAATAGCGTAGGATAAATGATTGATCATTTGTTCCACTTATTAATCTTTCTCGGTATCAGATATTAAAAATGTATAGATGGAAAGTTCTTGCACAATGTTCGTTAATCCTGAACGTGATATGAATTTCAATCACCTTTCAACGATTCGTTACAGATTTATTCTTTTCTCTTTAATGCACCTGCAAACAAGAGCTCGGGGACTGTCGATCCCGCAAATGAATCCTTTAATAAGAATATAGTAGGAAAACACAATGATTTCTCATTTAGAAAGAACTGAACTGGGTAGTTTATTATGTTTTTCTTAAAGATAAGAAATCTCATAATACGGTATTGCTCTCATTAAAACAACCAAACAACTCTTGATAATGATGTGGCGTAATCAAAATGACAGGCACATGAGACTTGTCAACTTATGTCTCAGGTTGATGGGTGCAGTGGCAGTGCCCCTCAGACCTTTGCGATTTAAAGCTCTCAGCGGGACTGCAACTGTTATGGATAGGCGTGACTTTACCACCAGGCGCACGACTTGTTCGTCCCGTCCCTTGGTATTATATAAAAAAAGTAATTTTCAGGTTGGCTTCCTCTAGGTAATTTTAGTGGCAATTTTTTTATTTACATTTTGTAGATCCAGCACCCTTACCCTTCTAAACCGGAGCGCAGTAATGCTCATATTACTGCTTGGCAGCAGAAATAGGAAAGATGGCAATACTTCCCTGGACGAACTCTTTCACAGGGAGCTATACTGCTACAAAATGACTGCTCGTGAAGAGTTTTCGGTTTAACTCCTGTATTTCTTTTTTCCTATTCCTGTATTTGACCATTGCCTCTACCTAGAATCACCAGAAATTTAATTCCTAAATAAGAATATACATTTTTGGAAATAAAAATAGTATTTAATTTAAACGAAAACTTTAAAAATAGAGGTTTAATTAATATTTTGTGAATATTTGTCGAGAAGCTCATTAAGCTCATTACAAATAATTAAATACTATTCTCAAAATATAACTGTATTAAAAGGTATCTTTACAGAACAAATGGCGACTAAAGAGTCTTAATTCTTGTAAGCGTGTTTCTGTTACTCTAAGAGTAGGTAACGACATTATCCCCAGGCCAATTCGGCGGGTCGTGCTGAGGCTTCGCCGCATTGAACAGGCCGGCGCTTCCTTCTATCTTAACTTTGTTTGTTTAGGACAATTAATGTCCCTTTACCAGTTTCGCTTCACTTTGAATACAGTTACTAATTGAACCTGCCGCATTTGCCTATGACAGCTATTTGCAACAACGCACAAAAGACGTTGGGGTGTTTAACCGTGAACGGGGTACACTCGTCGAGACGCTTTATTGTTACTGTATAAAATAATTTAAGGTGTAATTATGTAACAAGCTAATCAATCTAAGATTTTATTAACTCTCCTTGCGGGCTTTTGTAACACTAATCTGATAGGCATAGTGCATAACAACTCTACATAATTCATTATTAACACAAAATTTATAAGATAATCAACGTGCTGTGCCGATAATTAATTAAAACCCATTCTTAGATTCCTTAGTTAGTTACTTGGTGAACAATACACTATCCTTTATCGGGTATCTTACCACGTAATTCCCTTGACAATAGACCCACTTATTAGACGATACCCAATAGAGCCACTGTAAAATCCCTATTTTGGATCACTGACCCAAAGTTAGCACATCGTCAGAGGAATGTCAGTATTAGCCCACAGAATTTGAGTCCAAGCCCTAGTCCCAGCAATTTCCGTCTCTGCTGCCAGCACGTCACAAGATTAAGCTGGTATTGTATTTGTTCGCAGTTCGCCAGGAGAACGAGCGCATGATGCAAGACGTCCTGCAGGCGGGAGTGTTAAATCGCACCCAGTCGTCGGCGGCATTCCGCTGACGCCGCGCTACTCGCCGCGACCGCGGCTGGATAATGTTCGACCCGCCGCTGCGCCGCCGGAGGAGCCCCCGGACCACGCCGACCCCGACGACCCGCCTACCGCCGAAGCTCTCGTTGACACCCGCGCACCGCTTCACGCGGGTGCTCTTGGGCCGCCGGTGAGGGAAGCCCCTGAGGGCACCACGTGAGCCCCGGTGTCTGGCAACCTTAGTCTACCCATCTCGGTGTCGCAGACATGAACTATGAACACACAGTCTGCCTATAACCACCGATCCTAGTCCGTTGCTGTGACACATATATATATGTGAACTGAGAGAATTTTCATAGACTACAAATTTTCGCTCGTGAATTGAGTGACGATGGAGAAGTTTAGGTAGATAATGTGAAATTGTGTATAAATAGTAAAGAATGAAATGTTATTTGTTGAAATGTAACTTAATAGAAAATAAAAGACGCAGTGTCAATAATCAATGATATAATTAAGGTATGAAATGTCTATTTACACTACAACTATTTGAAAAGCTAAAGGAAGAAATATAATTTGAAAATTTATACCATTCCATTCCATATAGTCCAATTGGATGCGAAAATAACATAAATAAACGAAACAATCACAAGTTGATGATCAACTAATGATGTTAGTCAAATCCACGTCGCGCACTCATCAAACTGTTTAAAATGCCATACAGGTAACGTTTGTACTTAACAATCTGCTACCAATTTTTGGTCACGGTTTACAGGATATTTATATGACGAAAACTAGATAGGTAAAATTTTTTAATGAACCGCAACTTGACGCGGCATTCGGATAATGTAATCGGGAGCAAAACGTGTTAATTCCCTTCGACCAAGTTAAATTTCTTTCTTTAGTACTATTGTAACTAGATGTATCGTAATTATCGACCTGTTGGTGCCATAACAAGCACAAAGAAATCATGTAGATGTATTATAGTGACACCGAAAAAAATGGTGTTCGGTGTAACCACATTGGAATAGATAAAAATTACGATGTGAGTTTTTGGATCTTTATGTTATGACTTACCTAATTTAAAAGATTAAATGCCCGTGATTTTATTACATCTATGTGCACTGTTGTTGATAAAAAAATGTTTTATTGAAACACTTTTAAAGATACTCTGGCAAAATATGACGCTTAACTTCAGTTTTGATTTGTCTAAGTCCCACCGTAGCTGGTCTATCTTCAGTCTTACTCCATAAATAGTACCTACACTAAATAATTCTATCAACTAAAGCATGTGGTTTTACGTTGTCGTGTGCATCTCATACAGTTACACGTTGTTTTTACAGTGGCAGTGTTATTTACAAAGACCACTAACGATGGGCCTTAGAGTTCTTCTTTAATACCACTGATGATCTTAATCTAGTCAATGAGCTTTCAAACTGTGCTTAAGTACCTATCTGTTAAAAATAAGAGCTTTATGTATAGGTAGTAGTTGTTGTAGATATAGTATCAGGCCAAGGTAACTTTTCGGGAAAAAAGCGTCGTGAATGCCATTTCTACAGACAAGATATCACGCAAAGATAGACGTGTTAAAAACTACAGAATTCGTTATGCAAGGCTTATTCCTTTTGGTCCGGTCCGATTTTTCAGAATTCACTGGAAGAGGCATGACTATTTATAAAAATGTGTTTCGAAGCGGATCGTGAATTTGCGACTTTTCCCTTCGCTATATACGTCAGCGCTGCATCTTTGTTCAGCATTTTTCTGTACAATAATTATGCCTCGTGTTCTAATGGTTCTGTCATACCGCAGCAGACCACAATATCTGTCAGATTATGTAGGATATTTACAAAAGAAATAATGAATGACTCTTTCAAATGATGCAATTTTTTTCCCTCGTGTAGTTTAGATAATTTTGTTAACGGTATCAAATCAGTATCCACCAACATTATGTACGGTTATGGCAAGGGTTTTACAAAAAGGAATATTCTGATCTATGATTTCAATGCTTAATATTATTTAATATACGGTTATTTTTATATGATTCTAGTAGGTGCGACATTTTTTTTAATTTGAAATTTATATCAAAATTTTATTTCTTGTTTTTATCACGGAAGGTGTGGCATAAATGTGTTATAATAAGCTGGAATTTACAAATCATGTTAATACATAAACACGGCACTGTCTAGTAAATGCGCAAGTAAAATTATTACTAAGTAGTGAAATCAGTACAAATAATGTTCCAGAAAACAACGATTTTGAATCGAGAATTCCTCCAATTTCTGAGCACAGATACCAACATTTCTTGAAATATATGAAATATTCGCCCACACAACCAAAAGTGGAAAGAGCTTACATAGAACGCTGACTATTTTTACATTCTTTCTAATGGCGGCTCAAGATTTTCCAAGCCGTTTTTTATTTCATGAATATGGTAACTTGTGTACCTGTCCTTTTGTTTTATATTGAGTAGGTGCTGCACTTTATGAAAGAGGATCTCTTATTAATCATTAATTTATTTGTGAGACTAAGTTTGAACCCTACATAGCTTGCATAAGTTTTCTCAATGCACGCTTTTGGGCATGCGACCTGGCATTTTGCCCACGACCAGAGCAATTATAAGCATCGGCCGCCGACACTGTGAGAGATGTGTGACATGTCAACGAGTCCACGGCTGCCGCTGATCCTTCTCGGCCAGTCATCGTCAATTAAACAACGCTAAACGGAGACCTGTTGCAGTTACACTTATTGTTTATGACTAAACAAAAGTATTTTTTGGTGATCTGTGTTTTTGTCTGTGTTTTTTTGGAAGTAAAAAACGTGTGTGAACTAATTTAAAGTCTCTCACAGTAAAACTGTGTTTGTATCAAGACCAGACCTATTACACTCCACTATTAGAAGAATATAAAACCTATCGTTAGGAAAGCAATGGTTGCCTATAACGTACTTCTAAAATTTTCAAGACTCATTGTAATGAAAGCAAGCGAGTAAAAAACAAATCAAGCAGTCGCCATCTAAATGTGTAATACGTTGTAACTAAATGTATTATTTAATACGACCATAATACATCGAACACGGTAGCGTTGAAAGCTCTTAATGAAAATGGTTAACACAGTTTAAAATAAAGTGCAGTGCAGTGGTTGCGGCGGGGTGACAAATAACGTTATAATTTTCTATTCCGTGTTTTGTATAAGTAGGGTTGCCTTCTTTGTGGAACCTTTAAAGACTGTCTTTATCTATTTAATATACCTCACCGCCCTTGTCAGGATTGTGCTGGTTATTTATCATCTAGACTTTGCAAAACAGTCTTCGAAAAGAAGTAAATTGATGTCGTGTTCTTACCCGATATCGAAGCTAAATGTCACATGAAATATTACATGTAGGTAACTACATAACTACTTTCTTGTGAATAATGATTTTTCATTTGAAAACATGGCAGGTCAATGTTTGAAAACATGAAAACAGCTTAGGGCTTAACGTTCCCATAAAGTCGTGACGACCGATAGTCGTGCAGTTTAAAGTTTCGTGACTTGTATATTTAAATGAAGTTGTTCACATATAGTAGAATAAACACGATTATCTGTCGTTCACGACCTTGTGGCGTTATCACGACAGACTGCCGTGACAATGGGAAGCGCTAGCACGACAGTCGTCTGACGATAAGTAAAACGTTACAATATATATATGTGACGACAGATAATCGCAGCTTCAAACGATTCTGTCGTGCAAACGACAAGGCGGCTGCTGTGAACTGATAAATTGTCGTCACGATCTAGTGGAAACAGCTAGACACGACAGTCATTCAACGATAAAATAAATGTTCACGACGCAGTCACGACAGATAGTCGTGATATGGGAATAGTAATCCAATGTAAGTTTAGTTTCACGTAGAAGCCACACCAATTATCTAGTCTCAATCTGAGGAATTACCTGTATTATGAGAACCTGAAGTGACTAGAACCAATTTAGAAAAGTTATTTCCCAAAGCGGTCCTACCGGGAATCGAACCCGAGACCTCCGCATCTAGCACCCACAGTGTAAACCGTTAGGCGGTGACCTAATGGTAATGTTGTGGTCGTTAATGTTGTCAAAATTGGTTTTGACTGTTGGTTCATTATCTGAGAAGGTTTTGGCTAACGTAGCGATGAAAATGTTCGCAGAATTGTGTTTGACCTAGAGAATGTGTTAGCGCATACATTAAAAAATTTGTTCAGGCCAGGTAATTCGGAGGTTTGCCTCGAAATCTAAGGAGAAAACATGTGAATTACAATTTCAAGGGCCTTACATTTTACGAGTATTTGGGGCTTATTTTACGAGTTTTCACCTGTCTTCTTAACAAACAAGAATTGAAGAGGGACCCCGACCCGATTAAGTGGCGAACAATGTTAGTGATTTTATAGTCCAATAGGACAAAAATATCTTTAAATAAAGTTAAGGGAAAACAACTTATTTTCTTATATTTTAATGTTGGGGCAAACCAATATTTTGCTTTGGGATGTAAATGTCACAATTGTGAGCGCAGTTTGTATGTGTTGTAATCGTGCGCCCAGGGAATACCATTGCCGAGATACAAATATTTTTCAAACCTACTTATAGCGCTCTGATGCAGTGCTTCACAATCTCCCTAAAGATGAATTGTCCTTGTTTGGTGTTCGAAATCACGATATCAAGACGACTAAGGATGAGTGATTGGCAGTGTCAATGGCTTTTAAATCAAAGCACCATTGAGCGAAGCACTCAAACATATTTATAAATTTACTAATTAAAACCCTTGTAAACGACGTAAGGTTCAAATTTCATTAGGGCGTTATGATGATTTGTATAAATACATGAGAAGTCAATCATTGTACTCTATTTAAATGGACGTCATTGAACGTCAGAGCTGCCATTTTTCGTAAAACTTTAAATAGAATACAAATGTTGTCGACAGTTTTATCGACAGATTGTGAAATTGTACCTCATTTCTAATTATTATTTATCACTTATTACATTATCATCTACTTTCTTCTTATTTTAGACAGCTGACACACCAGTTTTGGGAATCAATTTGTAAAATACAGAGGCACACTATTTTTCTTAAGACGATGCGTATTTTTTATTATACAGCTATTTATGTCTCATGAATCTTAATTATATTCAAATTTAGTCATAAGACGTAAGTGTAATCCATGTTCAATCCCATTTATCGATTGCAATCACTGGCTGTTTGTAAGCTAGCAAGTCTTTTGCGCATTGAACAGACATTTTACTTCGCCTTAAAAAAAAAAATTGCAATAAAAAGGCAACCCTATTAATAATAAAATATTTGTAATCTTCTATGTGACAACGCTTAGGGCTATCCTACTTACCGGAAATTGCAATAAATACCCTCCATGAAAGGATTTCCTCCATGAAATCTCTTGATTTTTAGCATTTACATTTGAAACACCGCAAACAGACTACATTCGTTTTTATAAGACGGTTTTCTATGATTTACAAAAGTAAGAAGCGAAGAGTACTTTGTGTTTAAACATATTAATACATATAATGTACTTAATTTACTATTTGAAAATTGTTTAAACAGCTGTAAGATAGCCGAATTTAAAATTAGAATTCGGTTTCCGGTAAGTAGAGTTGGCAAAAAGTGCAATTAATATTAATGATTAAAAGTAACTGTTACAGGATAATGGCGAGTACGTGTATTGACATTAAATGTATGTATAAATAGTTTAACTGCGATCCGCGTCCCCTCCTTCCTCGTGTGATACGATAAGATACGTGTTCAAATGTTAACGATTGATTATCTTAAGACCAGACGCGGTTTGAAGTTTTTTGTCGCTATAAAAATAATAGGAATGCACATAGAATAACAAATAGAAAAAAATTAAACACAAGAATGGACTATATATAATATAATAATTTTACTATTACTGTGCGTCAACCACTTAACAGAAAAAAAAATTCATTAGTTATGACATACTTTACTCGAAATAAAAAGAATTTAAATTAAACGGTCGCATTGACCTTTTGTTTTATCAGTATTATCAGTATTTTTATATCAGTGTTATAAAAGTATTCAAATATATTTATTAAAAACAGTACGAAAATCGAAACCCCTCCTTAAGGCTTGAAACAACTTGCAATATCTATACCCTCCCGGGATAGTGATCAGTTGAGTGAGTACCCCTCTCGCGTCCCGTAAACCGAAAGCAGTAAAAGTATTGCCATATGTATAAGATAAAAATCTTCATGCCGCGCTTAGAGTAAGATTTCGCCGCCATGTACTATACCTATTTAAGAACTGTCAACGCGTATAATTGTCATTTGGCTATATTAGATATCAATTCCAACTAAACAGGACCTATTAATTAGTGTTAGACAAAAATACAAAGAATTTTATAGTTGTTTGTTGTAAATGTCAGTTTTAATTAATCTATTTTACAGAAAAATGTTTAATAAAATATCTTTATAAATAATGATTGTATTCTTTAATTCACCTAAAGTATATTTTCAATAACGTTGAATTTCTGAATATCAATACTAATATTATTGAATATTTTATTTTTCCATTATTTCCAATATAATTCAGAAAAATGAACAAATTTTTTTGCAAAAGTACTTTGAAAAATTGTCACCATTTACAAATAGTCAAATGTTGACCCAACACTATTTAAAATTTAGGAGTTATAAAAGTTAATGCCATATTTATAGTTCAGTATCTTATTATTAGGTTACGATGGGAAACATGTTCACACACGCCTTTATTTAACTAGTAACACTGCTCGTGGCATAATAAGGGAAGCTTTGACACTATGCTTATCGATCTTGAACAGGTAATTTAAAAATTACATAGTGGATGCCAATGTAACATTCTTCTAACTTTTTACATGACGTTGGCCACATAATATTGTTGCATGATATTGGTTTATCTTTACTAATTTGCATTTTTTTTAGAATGCAGACGTACAAAAAATAATGAGCATAACACACAGATGGGAACAGACATTACCTTATGCCTTACTTTCTCAAACACGCATCTTATAAAGAGTGAGTAAAAGAGGTGATGAC